TAATGAACAATGGTTGTATATAACAATATGTTGAAATGTACCTAAAATATATAGATTTTATATATATATATATATGTAGGTATGGAAACTTCTATTGTATGTCATTATTACGGCCACATGAATTTTATAATATGTGTATATATTTTTATATTTGTTTATTGCTGCGTGTATATATATATAAATTATGTTAGTATATGTACATATATATGGGTATATATTTTGGGTATATATATGTATATATGTATATGTATAATACTTATTATCATTGGAGATATATACGTCTGTATTTGCTCGCTAACAGTTATATTTCATAAGTGCTGAGCATTTATGTCATGACAATTTCAGTCTTAAATATTTATTGGTTGTTGTAGAAATGATTGTCTGGGTCAATGTCTGTGGATGTGTGTGCATGTATTTATAATTGTCTATGTGTATGGAAAGTGCATTTTTTTTTTAATAGTGTATGTATGTTGTGTGCGTTGGTTTCATTCCTCTCTTTTTTTTTATACGATCGAGGGTGATGTTTCTGTCTCGTTCTTTTTTTTGTGTGTATATATATATATTTAAATATGTTTTATGCTTATATATTATCATCTGATTGCGTTTTACGCGTGAGTTTAGGACCCCATTCACAAACTTTAGGATTAAAATGGATAAATTGTCAAAAGACCGGATATAAAATTGTTCTAACGTAACTTCAATGAAGAAATAAATTGAATAACATATATATTTTTTCTTTTCTCCTCAGTAATTTTATAGTTTTAAACTTATCGATTAAATTAAATTTTGATTTTAAAATTAGCAGTTTTTAATTTTAATATTAAATTTTATCATATAATTTAATAATTATTGGTTAGAATAAATTCTTTTTTTATATAATATACCCATATTTTAAATATTTGAATAGCTATTATAACATGATTTCGTTGTCAAGCTTTTTGAATTTTCCTATACTTGTATTTTGATTGGTCCATCTAGCTTTTGTAACAACGTTTTTTCCCTTTGTAGAAAGATTGTTAATTAATTTGAAACTTTTAAAACCATTTATTTTACATTCAACATCATCACTTGATAAGACACCGAGAGTATTGAAACAAAATGGCTATTTTTGTAGTGATTTTATAACATATTTATGTTATAAATCTTTTTAAATAAATAATTATATATATATATAGAGAGAGAGAGACAGAGACAGAGACAGAGAGAGACAGACAGACAGACAGAGAGAGTGAGTGAGAGGGAGGGAGGGAGAGAGAGAGGCATGGGGAGAGAGAGATGCTAACCTTAGTTTTCTGAACATAGCCTTGATAATGACTCATTTTCATTTTCGGAATATTGAAGTCACTATTCAACATCGTTGTGATATTCAAGATATTCCCAAGTCTTCCTTCGAGATCCACTTACTTCAATTTCCTTGCCAGGCATTGAGATCCAAGTGGACACAGTATTATGGGCACCACCATCAGGTTCATTTTCCACGGATAATTTTACTTGAAAACGGTTTATAGTCACCTTAACCAGATTTGTTCATGGGTGTATTATTCTCTTATAAAAATAGAAATTCTGTTTAGGATATGAGTCAAGGCAAATATAACTCCTAAAATATAGATTTCATTTAAAGAGAAAAAGATTAAATTAAATTTTTAAAAATTTTAAATTAACAAAAATTCAACGGATGTAAAAAAAAAAAAACTAAAGGTGAGAAAGAAAGTAAGAAAGAAAGAAAGAAAGAAAACAAGAAGGACGGAAGGAAGGAAGGAAGGAAGGAAGGAAGGAAGGAAGGAAGGAAGGAAAGAAGGAAGGAGACGTAACCTCTTCAAAAGCAATCCAACCTCATTGAAATTCGTCGAACTCTCCCAACGGAAGTTTACCAGTAATTTGGCACTTATTTTTGAGTAGTGAATTCGATCCTCACTAGGTGGCCGTACTTGTGGCTTTCTGCCCAAATAAGCTAAGCTTAGTAAATAAAAATCTCAGGGAATTATGTATTTGCGTCTCTAAGACGACGAACAAAATTGGAAAATATTACTAATTTACAAAGAAAAAGAAGAAAAAAATCGCTGAAATGTTTTGTTTTGTTTTTATAAATAAAAAGAGGATTTGATTTCCATAAACAATTAAAAAAAAACTAATTGCAAAAATTGCTTCCGAATGAGTTGCCAAGTTTCTTATTAATAATGAACAGAATATATCGAGCGAAGTTTGCATCCTCAATTGCTGGGATTTTTACGGAGATAAAAGCAAACTATAATGGATCTTCAACCAAGATTGTCTAGAATCGATAATCTTCTGCGTTCTGTTCACTACAATGTCCTTAGGAAAGGCATGAACCCATTTCTTGTTACTCCGCTGCCAGTAAAGGCTGAAATCGATGGACAGACTGAAATCTATAGCCTTGTATTGAAGCCAATTTAGAAGAAAGTCTAAACATGAATCAAAATCAATGGAGACGGTCACTGAAAGTTCCAATTCCAAAATATTATTTAAGAATAAATGGCAA